CACATTAGTGAAAGCTTATTACAAATTGTAGGCAAGCCTGAAATAAAATTTGAAATCACTTCGTATTACTTAAATTTTTCTATTATTAAAATTAGACTAAAAAAACTTGGCACGATGGCTAAGAACACTTTGCTCTAGCGTTTGTTGGAATCCTTATTAGCTTCTGTTGTACAGGGTGCTAACTAGAAGTGATTAAATTGTGCAATTTTCAAACAGTCGTAACTTATCACGTTACATTTTCGAATGTAACATTCTATATTTTTTTTGGATACTGAATGGTAACCTATCTTTTAAATTCAATTTATTCGCGATAAAAATTAATTCATATTTTAGTTAAATTTTGGCAAAATTGTAAAAAGCCTTGTATACAACTCGTTGCAATACTGCGCTTTTTTCGCACACGACGTGTTCTCGTATTGCAACTAAAGTCTGTTTTTTTTTAAATGGAAATTACCAAGTCAAAATTTTGGTGAAAAAATTGGTAGCAGCTTGTCTGCATAGCCACAAATTTTGTTTGCTCTTTGTTTTTGTCCCTAGAAATTTTGTTAAAAAATTATGGTTATGTGTTCAAATTGAGATGTCAAAATTTTGACTTTTATGAATCTTGTGTGCTTGTTTGTGCTCTTTGAAAGCGCTATAATTGAATACCTAAGGACAGACATCATTACCTAAGGTCTAAAGACAGAATTCAGTGCTAATAATTTTGACAGAAACACGCCGAAAGTAAGTACAATGTTGTGGACAAAAATGAGATTCTTGCTACAAAAACTTTGAAGAAAAAGGATGTATATACAGAAAAAGTTATTTATCAAATGATACAAATAGGTATTATGATGATTGGCAATAAATTTTGTGTAATTTATTGAAATGAGCTCAAAGTAGATGCATTTTATAAATTCTTCTTCAGCTTTAGTTTCAAAATTGTTACTTTTTCAACTCGTTCCTCAAAAACGATGCACAAGACACTAATTTAATTGCGTTCTTTCCGAGGTTCTTTCTTATTCATGTTTATTTTGTATTCTTGTCAATTTCTTGCTAAAAATTGAGAATGTTTAGCAAACCTGCATTACAAATTACATCTACATTTTAACGGGCCCTTTTTCTAACTTCCTGCTTGCGAACCATTTGTTTCCAAATTTCGAAAAACTGTTAGTGTACCGAATTTGTTTCTTTTTTGGTGTTTTGTCTTTAAATTTTTTTAGACGATTTTTTGTGTTGACGTTTAATGACATTCTTTTCAAATTTATTCAAAAAACCGAAACTGCCAACTTCCTTTGTTAAAATTACCATGAATGATTTTACTAGTGACGCCAACGTTAAGACTGTTTGGCATTTCCATTAAAAAAAAACAGACTTTATTTATATAAATAGCTATTTGAGGACTGAGTACCTCAAATAACCGTTTTGCGTACTATTTTATTGAGTCCAGAAAAGACTCATTTTAAATAGCTGTTTTCGGGAGCGTATACAAAAAAATAAATATTATTATTATCAAAAAATATACCTATCTACCTAAACAGGTTGCTGATAGGGAAGATTAGTTCGGTATGGAGGAGGAAATGATGAAAACCGTTTTCTAATAGCATTTTTAACTATTTTAAAATTTGTTGTTACAAAAGCGGAGTCAATTTTATTGGCGGTTATCGATATCTTGACAGAAAATAAATGGTTTTATAAAATCCGTCGCATTATAGAGCGACTGCCTGGTGCAGGGTCGCATATGTCAAGCCGGTCCCGGTTTGCTAAGACGTCAGACGCAGATCCGCATGCCGTAATACAATCTTGAACATAATAGGGCCAATCCGGCTGCTGCCGTGTTATTAGCCGACACAATGCCGCTTTGTGCCGTCGTTCTCACTGCGATTGCTGTTACAACGACAACAACCATTGATTTTATCAACAAATCTGACACTAACTACAGCTACTGTTCAGCCGCGCCTCTGAAACATTTTCGAAATCGCGTCAGAAATTAAAATTGTTTTGTTGCCGCGTCAGCTCCCATTCGCCCAACAACACGAGAAAATTGCAGTCTGCTTTTGGAAGTTTGCTAAAAGTTTCTTATTCGATTTAGTCAATTTAGGACGGCTTCAGCCCGCCATTAGCTCGAGTAAAGAATGACATCAAATTGTCAATTAATGCATCAGTTCAAAACCAATTCTCGGAGCGCTTACGGCATCAACATGGCCGTGGTGCCTGTGGGGAACCTTAAGAATAAGGATAATCAAGGGTGCCAGGATAGGGGAGGGTCCAGACATAGTTCTTCCCTTCACAGACGCCTTTCTCGGACGATTTTAGGGAAGTGAACGAACAAGAACGTTGCCCTCGAAGATCAAACGACAATATATTACGTTTTAGAACATGCACGAAATGAAAAATTTTGTTTTTCAAATATAAATCTTTTAAGTTTAGAATACCACTCAATTGAAAATCGTGAAAAATATCAGTATCAGCAGCAGGTAACCGACAATTTGTAAATTTGGTAGCAAAATGTTTGCAGTTTGCGTTGAAAACAATATACAGGGTGCGCCAGAACTCGCGCCCCAGAGAAAAATGCCATATAAGGTAAGATACCAGGAACATGGAAAAAATATTTAAAAAATTTTATCTATAAAAATTTCGAAGTTATGAGGGTTTAAAGTTTGCACTTTGACTCTATTTATTTCTGTTGCAAAAATAATTTTTCAAGTTTTTTTGCTATAGGCTATTAAAAGAGGAAACAAGGAAGCTGTATCCTAAATTGTAACTCTGTTCAATGTTATTTGTGGCTTTTATTGGCAAAATTTTTGTTCCTTTACTAAATAATTGTAAAAAAATATATACAAGATCATCAGTAACCTTAAATAGATATAAAAAAATGTGAAATGTCAAAAAATATATGTCAAAATTTTTTGACAGATAGAATTTTTTTAAACATTTTTTTCATGTTCCTGGTATCTTACCTTACTTGAAAATTTTCTCTGGGGCGCGAGTTCTGGCGCACCCTGTATTTTTAGCGACTATTATTATACATTATGTCCCCGGATTGAGTGATTGAGTTTACAAGACGAAATTTTTTTATTTTTGAAGTTTTAATTACAGATTTGCTGGTTTCAGATAAAACAAAAAATGTTTTTCCTTTGCAGTTTTGGCGTAAAATCAAAGATATTTTTTTTTCCTTTTGTAAACTCAATCCGGGGACATACTGTAGAATAACAATATTCTTGGTTGGTTTTTAATTACAGAAAATACATACCTATACACACTGTGCCAGAGTGATTTTTAATTACAAAATACTCATAAAATTTCTAAATTTTAGTCTGTAATTTTAGTCGTCGAAAAAGTACCGTACAAGATACAAGATACAAGATACAAGATACAAGATACAAGATACAAGATACAAGATACAAGATACAAGATACAAGATACAAGATACAAGATACA